GAAGGATCACCAATTGTGAGTTGGGTTGTGTTTGAAGGTGCCTTCATGGGGCGGTTCTTTCCCCCATAAACTGAGAGAGACAAAGGTAAGATAATTCCTCACTCATAAGCAAGAATCTATGAGTGTGCATGAGTATAGCCTTAAGTTCACTCAACTGTTCCGTTATGCTCCGAAGATGGTTGCTGATATGAAGAGCGGGATGAGTTTGTTTGTTTCTGGGTTGTCTCGTCTGTCTAGCAAAGAGGGTAAGGCTATGTTGTTGATAGGGGATATGGACATAGAAAGGTTAATGATCTATGTGCAACAAGTTGAGGAGGATAGGTTAAGAGATAGGGAGGAGTTCCAAAACAAGAAAGCTAAGACAACTAAGAACGAGTCCTGGCACCAGAAGAGTTATGCGAACCGGTAATCTTTTCAACAAAAGCAAAATGGATCTGCTCCATCATCTTCTAGTGCACCTGCACCAAGGAACAGAGGTGAGCTCAAGAATTAGAATTCGCAAAACTTCAGAGCTAGACCTGCACAGTCTCAAGGTAGTGTGGCACAAAGAGGTAAGCTAATATCTTTTTTTCCTTTATGAGAACCAAAAAAGCTGAAAAACTTTTTATTTTTACCTTTTCGAGAACCGAAGAGTTGTTTATCTTATTTCTTTTTGCTTATATGAGAACTGAAGAGTGCTTTTTCCACTATGGCTAGATCATACATGAGAGCAAGGTGGAAAGAGGCATAGATGCAATACAATACAATGATGGCTAGTTGACCACGTGGAATGAAATAGAAGGAAAGTTGTGAGTTGAAATGACCAAAACGCCCTTGATAAGTAAAATTACTTACCAAAAACAGATGAGCTTATAATGGATATTGAAATCTAATACTCTTTTTGGAAAGTTACCAGGTAATTGGAATTGATATAATTATTAGGATAGTAATTACTAGCCTAGTAATTACACAACCTAGTAATTACATTGACATGTTTGTTTGTCACAGTGTAATTACAAATGTACTATTTGGTTGCACAATTGAAATTATAAGGTTATATTAAATTTTAAGAATAAAAATTAATTATCTAAAATTAAAAATTTATATTAGACAGATAAGAGACTTTATAAGTGGTATTTAATTAAGGGAAAAGGTCTTAATTTACCCCTGAACTTTATGATTTGGAGCGGATATACCCTCCATTTAAAAAGTGGCTCATACATGCCCCTGTTGTTATAGAAATGACTCATATATGCCCTTTTACTTAATAGATTAATATTTAATAAATTAAAAATTCATATTTTAGCTTTAATTTTAAAAAAAATGCTATGTGGATTTAAAAATACCCCACCTTCCACCATACCCATCCGACCCAATTGGAAACAAAAAAACCCCACCCACTCCAATTAACTTCACCCATTTCATTTCATTGTTTCCACCTCAACAGAAACAAAAATAAAAATTTTTGATAGGATCTGGTGAGCTCTAATCAAAAGTCCCATCTTTTCCATCCTTATTTCTGTAAAAACCCTATTGTTTTCTTGTTTCTATCTCATAAATTACCATTGGCTTCAATGGTGTCGTCTTCATTCTCGATCTCAGGATCATAGAGCAAACAAATTTTTTTATTTTTGTTTTTGTTGAGGTGGAAACGATGAAATGAAATGGGTGAAGTTAATTTGAGTGGGTGGGTTTTTTTTGTTTCCAATTGGGTCAGGTGGGTATGGTGGAAGGTGGAGTATTTTAAAAGCCACATGGCATTTTCTTAAATTAAAGCCAAAAAAATGAATTTTTAATTTATTCATATTAATTTGTTAAGTAAAAGGGCATATATGAGTCATTTCTATAACGGCAGGGGCATATATGAGCCACTTTTTAAACGGAGGGTATATCAATTCCAAATCATAAAGTTCGGGGGTAAATTGGGACTTTTTCCCTTGAATTAAATATTTAAGATATATATTATCTTTTGAAAATATATTAATCAACAAACATATTTTCTTAACTAGTATTATAAAAAAAAATGATTAATGTTTTTCAAATTAGAATATACTAATTAGATTAATAATAAAAACTAAAAGCGCAAAATTTCTATCAACATCATAAAATACACGTATACAAAAAAAATTAGTATTATAAATATAATGTCATAAATTATGATTTTTTTTTATAAAAATACAATCTATCAAGTCTAACTAAAAAAAATGACTTGCAATGTGAACTATCAAGTCAATACTACAAAAACAAATGAAATTGAAAATATAAATAAGTTTTTAAATTCGATTTTTTTAAAATATAAAACTCTTATGTCAAATTCAACATAACGTACATAAATGTGATTTAAAGGAAAAGAAAAACGCAAATCTATAACCTTATTTAACGATGAATTGCCCTTCAATTTAAAAATTAGAAATACTAACAAAATTATGCTAATGAAGAAAATAAGGTAAAAAAACACTTATTCCCCAAAAAAGTAAAATATTTACACTTAAATGCCACATTACTTTCATACTCTTTTTTTAATTTTAAAATGACATATAATTCGCGCGCTGACGTCAGCGCCCATCCTTTTTTTCCCTCTCTAATACCAACACAGTGTATTATAGCATATGAATATACTCTTATAGTATCAAAGAGTAACTGAGCAGTGTTTTCATAGAAGGACTGCTTCTTCCTCCTTGATACCATGAAAGTATAATATACTCTGATGGTATCAATAAGTAACTGAGCACTATTTTCATTAAGGTTTGGTTCAGTTCTTAGATGTGATTACTCAATCATCCATGATACCATTACAATATATTTGCATACTGTCGTGGTATCATTGATGTATGTTTCAATTCTTCAATATTTTAATTTAAAAGCAGTTTTAAGAAAAATTCATAATTTAGGTACATATTTTTAAAATTTGCAAAAACAGATTTTTTTTTTTATAAAAATATATTTTCTACTAATTTAGAGTTAATAAATAAGATTGTGACTTTAATAATTTTCTCTTAATTGTTTCTTTCAAAAAAAAAAAAAGTTCAATCCTATATGATCTTGATAGAGTATCAATACATTGATGGAGTATCTATCACAAAGGATTAAGCTCTGTCATATATGATATCAATATGGTATCAATAGACCGATGGAGTATCACAAAGAATATATTTTCAACTAATTTAGAGTTTAATAATTAAGATCGTAACTTAAATAATTTCCTTTAAATTGTTTCTTATTTATTTCTTACCCAAACCTATATAATAACACTAGTGTATTAATATATCGATGGAGTATCACAGAGGATTAAGCTTAGTCCTATCTGATACCTATATGGTATCAATATACCGACAAAATATTAGAGGAATCATTCATAGTAGTGATGCTAACAACATGCTAACATTATAGCCATGGGTTCATTAAGGATAAATGGTTAGGTTTGAGTCAACTTGATAAATAGTTTCACAATTGAATCTATTTTGTGTAGTTACATAAAAAAACTAAATAAAAAAGATATTACAAAAAATCGCATGAAATCACAAGAATTAAAAGTTAAAAATGAGAATAAAATGAAATAAAAAAATAATATTTTTTTTAGAATAATAAAATAAATTCAAAAATAATAAAACTAAAATTAAATTAAATTAAATTAAAATAAAAAATAAGAAATTAAAAAGTAATCAACTTGTAATTAGACAATGTAATTACCAACAATTTTCAATTACATCCAATTACATGCTCACCAAGTAATTATATGATAATCAAATATGACAAATATTTTAATGAGTAATGCTGAATGATCATAAAATTTGGCCAGAAATTTAAAAAGTATATACTAATATCTTTTTTATTTTAAAATAAACTGATCTTTTTTTCATTTTTTAATTAAAAGATATTAAAGTTAAAAGAGTAAAAAAAATTCAAAAAGTAAAATAATGCGTAAAATATTTTATTTTACCATTTTGGCCAAAAGATTTTTTCCTATTTTAATTACCCCAAATCCAATAGCACATTGTTTTCCAATTAATAATGTGGGATTCCAGATTGTTTGATTAAAAATAAAAAATTAAAATTTTGGAATCCTCATTGTAATTTTTTTTTTAATTTTCTAGAAACAAATTCAGATTTTACGCTATGCTTTGATCAAGTTAAACACTTTTCTTCTTACTGGCGAAACTAAGGCTCCGTATCTCCTTCCTTATTCATATCTTCAGTGTTATTTTTCCTTTAATTTTGACCAATCTCGCCCCTGTTATAGATCAGATTTTGCTCCTTTATGGTGTATTTTTTAGGTAATTTTGACACACATCAAAGATTGTATTTTGGTGTGTTTCTGAGTTTGTTATATTCTTCAGATTAAAGAATACCTTGGTGGGTTTAGAGGGAATTTAAAAAATAGACCTTTTATTGTTGAATAACCTGAATTTTGATTTAGATTACAGAGTAATTTGGTGGCTTTTGTGGGAGTTGGAGAAATTGATTTACTTTTTGTTTTTGAGTGGAAGAACACAGCAAAAGTAATCAAAGATTGTATTTTGGTTTTGTGGGGTTTGAGGAAAATTGAAAGTTGGTTTTTGTTTGTGTGGAAGATTGATTGACCTTTGGTGTGTTTTGAAGTTAATTTTTGATTCAGATTGAAGAGTACTTTTGTGGGTTTTGAGGGTTGGGTGTTTGTTTGTGAGGAAGGGAATAGACAACAGTATATCAAAGATTGTACTTTTGGTGTGTTTTGAAGTTCAGATTGAAAAAAAAAACATACTTCTTGTGGATTTGAAGGAGTCGAAACATTGTTGGTTGTGTGTTGGTGGGGAAAGTTAAGCTACACTCATCAAAGATTGTACTTTTGGTGTGTTTTGAAGCTCAGATTTAAGAAAACGTACTTCTTGTGGATTTGAGGGAATCGAAAGGTTGTTGGTTGTGTGTTGGTGGGGAAAAGTTAAGCTAGAGTCATCAAAGATTGTACTTTTGGTGTGTTTTGAAGTTCAGATTGAAAAAAAACATACTTCTTGTGGATTTGAGGGAATCGAAACGTTGTTGGTTGTGTGTTGGTGGGGAAAAAGTTGAGCAACAGTCATGTTCTATGGTACAGTGGTGTGGGATCCGTGGCTAATTGTTGCTCAAATTGGGTGTATTCAATGCTTATACTATTTGACGTTAGGGATATTCTTGGAAATTCTTGTAGGGTCTCGTGTTTCTCGAATGAGTCTTGTCTATTTCTTTGATTACGCCACTGTTACTGCTTCAACTGTCACTGGATGGTGCGTCATTGCTTCCTTTCTTCTCAGTTCACTTGCCGGGTGAGATCTTGTTTTATTTTCCGTGTCTTCGCATATAAGTTTTTCAATTGCTTGTCAATGGCTTTGTGGTTTAGAGTTTGTAACATTTTCCCTAGTCATAATGATAAGTTGTCTTTGTTAATAAATTGTATAAATTGTGTTCGTTTATTCCCCTTTCTGTGAAGATACTAATTATATTAGCATGGTGATGAATTTTTTGCTATAAGCTTGTTCATCAAAAGAAAAAGAATTTAAAGTACAAACAGTATACAAAAATAGGAAGTCTGCACAAAAATATGGTTCCCTACAAATAGCACCTAGTCAACTTCATGGTTCACGAAGAAATTAACTACACGTAACAAAATATTGGCCCTCTTCTACTAAAAATCATTTCCCACCCCATCAAAGGCTCTCATGTGTTCGTTTACTCTCATTTTTTATTTTTTATTTTTTATTTTTAGTTATATTTACTTAGTGAAGAATTTGAGTATAAGTAACTAGAAGTGGTCATTCACTGTTGAGTGTTTGTGGTTTTGTTAAAAATCAAGCAGTGTTCCAACCTTTTTTGCTGTAAGGACCGGTAGAGGATTATTTTGCTTGTATGCTTCATTGGGCTGGTTGTTTAATTTGTTATGTTAATGAATTTCTAAATTTTCATATGTTCTCTCCTAATTGCTACAGGGAAAGTGTGAGAAAGGATATTAAAGTATTGATATCTCATTTACTAAAAACTTACCCACCTCTTCTCTTTGCTTGACATGAAGTAGAATAAAGAAGAAAAATTAAGATAATGGAAGACCTTATTGCCCAAAAACCTGCATGGCCAAACAATATTTGTAGTATATTAGTTTAGGATTAAGGTTGGACTCATAGAACTTCTAGTTTTAGAGTACTCCTAGTATGATAAAAAATCTAAATTATGAATTGTGGATTGGTGTGGGTGGTTTGGATCAGAGGAGGATACAGGATTTGGATTCTCCGAGTGCCAAGTAGATCATCGACTAAATCAACTTTAGGCTTCGAAATTGGATTGTTTGTCTTTTCAGTCTATATGACAAATCAACCAATAAAATACGAACATTAATAAGGTGACAATTTATGTATTATATATACTACAAATTCACATTCTACATTTAATTGAAATTATGAAATGAACAAAGTCAAAACTTTCAATAATATTACTAATATCATAAATATCCATCATTCATTTATAATTATCTATGGTGAATTTTCATATTCTAAAAATGATCAATGATAACATCATTAGTTACATTTGCAAAAACACTTATGCAACACATTAAACAATCATTTAAATATTGACCATTAATACTATTTTGCACTTCATTCTTTATGTGCTTCATGGATGAGAATGCTCTCTCCACACTACGCAGTTACCGTAGCAATAGGTAAAATTAGAGTCAACTTCACAAGTAAATAACCTTTGCCAAATCATGAAATCCTTGCAAGTTAGAGAACTTGGGATTACCACCTCACATATGAATAATGGAAGTATCGAGTTGGTAACTCAAATCTTGAATTTGTCAATTATCAAACTCACATTGATAACACTTTGCTAAAGTCTCGATACTACCTTTGTCAACGTTAGAGAAAGAATTGACCAGATTCAAGCTACCTATCCCAAAAGGTAAATAACTACTCACTACATCAAAACGATCATTAAGCTTTTGAAGTTGCACATCACTGACAACAAAAAAGACTTCAATGCTCAACGGGTGCGAAAAACAAACACGAGAAGACTTACACTTTGATTTTCCATGAAAATAAAACTCATTCTACTTGAGAAATCAAGATATCATGGGTATCATGGGTATCATGGGAATCACAAAATGAAGAAACATCTTCCGACAAAGATTCTCATCTAGATTGACTCATATCTTGCAATCTTTTCTTTGAATGTTAAGAAACTCAACGACATTAACAATATCTTGATTTTTTTTTTGTAAAATCTTAACTCGTTTGACATTGCCAACACTTTGAATATCAAGTGAAGCATAAAAACAAATTTGAATGTTTTAATTTTTGTCAAATATATTCTGCTTAATTTTTATCACTTGAGGTGGAACCCTCATATTCAATATTTCAAGCACATGAACAATAAATGAGAAAATAACAATAAAATTATCTAAAGTTTTGAAATGTGATCTCAAACGAGTATCACTTGGTCTTTGTAGCCCATGTTCTTGATGTAATCCTTGACCACTATGAACTTCACCGGATTTAAGTAATTGCTCTAACTTTTCAGTTTGGTGATGATAGAGTTCATCTCTACGCTTGAAAGATCTTCCAACTACATTCAATATATTATTAACATGATCAAAAAAGTCTTTAACATTCGAATGTATTTTAGCAATAACTACAAGTGTTAGTTGCAATTGATGAACAAAACAATGAATGTAATATGTTGATGGATTATTTTTTATAATCAAAGTTTTGAGACCATTTATCTCCCCCTTCATATTACTAGCTCTATCATAACATTGTCCACATATTTTGGATGGACTTAATGAGTGATCAAAAAAACAAAAAACAAATATTTGTTCAATGAGCATGCCGATGTATCAATAACATGGACAAACGATCGTTCTACTTCACCATTCTTATCAACATACTGCAAAACAAGAACCATTTTAAACACATGTAACCTCTATTAGAATTCTAACACCTGTAACCCTAATCACTCAAAGATATAATCTTCATCTCAACAATTCCAAGTCGTGAAATGGCAATTCCAAAGACATCTCACTCAAATAACAAATGACTCTTGTTTTGCGGTATATTGATAAAAATGGTGAAGTAGTAGACTGATTTATCGGTCGTATCCATATTAATAATACGTTGTCATGCTCATTGAAGAAATTTATTCTTTGCTTTTCGATCACTCACTAAGTCTATCGAAAATACGTGGACAAAATTAAGATGGAGCTAGTAATATGAATGAAGAGATAAAAGGTCTCAAAACTTTGATTATGAAAAATAGTTCATCAACGTATTACATTCATTGCTTTGCTCATCAATTTACAATTAACACTTGTAGCTATTGGTAAAAAACATTTGGATGTTGAAGACTTTTTTTATCATGTTATGAATGTTGCTGTAGAATCTTTCAAGCGTAGAGATTTACTCTATCATCACCAAGCTGAAAAGTTAAAACAATTACTTGAATTCGGTGAAGTTCATATTGGTCAACCATTACATCAAGAACGAGGGCTCCAAAAACAACGTGATACTTGTTGGGGATTGCATTTTAGATAACTTAATTGTTATTCTCTCATCTATTGAACATGAAGGTTTCACCTCAAGTGATAGAAATCAAGCGGAAAATCTGACGAAGGATTAACCATTCAAATTTGTATTTATGCTTCACTTGATGTTGGTAATGTCAAATGAGTTGAGCAAGATTTTACAAAAAATTAGATCAAGATATTGTTAGTGTTGTGAAGTTTCTTAACGCTACAAAGAAAAGATTGCATATAAGGGAAACTTGATGAGAATATTTTTTTTGAGAAAGGTAACATTACTTCTATATATCCACAGGTATACTACATCAAAGTGTAGTCCCCCTCCAAAAAGTTTTACTTACATCATTCCTAGGATCTTCTAGTTACAACCAGTCAATAATATTAAACACATTTTCAGTATCTCCTATCACTACTTGCTTACACCAAATTGATGAGAATATTTGTTGAATGAAGTTTCCTCATTTTGTGATTCACATGATATTTTGATTCCCAAGTTAGACGAGTCTTATTTACCTGAAAAGTCAAAGCATAAGTCTCCGGTTATTTGTTATTCACACCACTTGTGTGTTGAAGCCTTTTTTGTTGTCATTGATGTGCAACTTCAAAAGCTTAATGATCGTTTTGATGTTGTGAGTATTGATTTGCTTCTTGCAATGGGTAGCTTGAATCTGGTCAATTCTTTCTCTAACTTTGACAAAGATAGAATCAAAACTTTAGCAAAGTGTTATCCATGTGAATTGGATAATGGCAGATTCGAGATTTGAGTTACCAACTCGATACTTTCATTATTCATATGTGAGGTGGTAATCCAAGTTCTCCAATTTGCAAGGAATTAGTGATTTGGTTAACACATATCTTCTGAGGTTGACTCTGATTTTACATGTTGCTACGACAACTGTGGAGAGAACATTCTCATCCATGAAAAATGTAGTGGGGAATAGCATTGGTGATCAATATTTAAATGATTATTTAGTGTGTTACATAAATCGGTGATGTATTTGCAAATGTAAGTAATGATGTCATCATTGACCGTTTTCATATGAAAACTTGTCGAGGACAATGGTAAATGAACGATGGATATTTATGAAATTAGTAATATTATTGAAAGTTTTTAACTTTGTTCACTGATTTCAGATGAATGTGGGGTGTGAATTTGTTGTATACATAAATTGATCTTATTACTATTCATATTTTTATTGATTGATTTTTCATATAGACCGAAAAGATGACTAATTCGATCCGAAACCTAAAGTTGATTTGATCGATGAGTCTACTTGGCACTCGGAGACTCCAAATCCTAGATCCATCTCTGGTTCTATTTGCCAAATATAAATTGGTGGAAACAGGGAAGAGAGAGCTTGTAATGTAAGAAAAGACAACAAATGCAATACCAGATAAGGCCAAAAAAATTCGTGAAGAATGAATTATATTTCTTTTACCTTTCCTCCCTAGTTGTGAACTCTTTTCCTTTCTGGAATAAGGTAAATACTCCAAAGTTACGTAATTATGTGACCTTTCTATTGTTTTCCACTGCACATGCTGTTCTCAGTTGAGAAAAATACTGACCTGTGAAAAGCTTCCAAATTTCCAGAGAATTTGATTGACCTGCATAATTGAATTTCCAATGTCTTATTCCCCAACACAGAGCTGGCATTTTACTCTATTTGATTGAGAGGGCAAAGAAGTGCCTAGATTTTTCTGCAACACTCTACATCATCCATCTTTTTATATGCATTGTCTATGGTGGTTGGCCTTCCTCATTAACATGGTGGATTGTGAATGTTACTGGGCTTGCTGTGATGGCATTGTTAGGTGAATATTTGTGTATAAAACGTGAATTACGAGAAATTCCCATTACAAGATACCGATCAAGTAAGCTCCTTTATTATTCTGCTATGGCTCTTTCTATCTTGTTGGCGTATGTATCCTCACTTTAGTTGGGTGTTTTTCAGCTATTCTAATGATTTTTCCTTGGGATTTATGATTATTGCATCTTCTTAATTATGATGTGAATTGACATTCTGTAGATGTTCTCTGTCCATTCTTGTCTGTAGCTATCTTTTTTTTTTAATCTATATATTTGATTTTGCATCTATGTATTGAACCTTACTTTACCTCACTTGTGGGATTTCACTGGGTATGTTGTTGTTGTTGTATATTGAACCATACTGGTAGTTTTCTAAAATTTCTCTTTTCTATGGTGCTTTGGCAACAGTTTGTCATAGCTATGAATGGTGGCATGTATGAACCTTGGGAACTTTAACTCGAGTTTTTTTTACTTATAAAAAATGTTTTGGAATTTATATATATTGGATACAAATTAGTACTTATATGTGCTGTGTTAAATGTAATGAACAAAATTTAGAGCAGTAGTTGCAGTTGAAAATTTGTGATTATTACCACAAACATGACAAAAGTGGAAGTCAGGGAGAGGGAGTCAGAATCTGAGAAACTGATGGACGTTAATGGGATAAAAGTGCAGAATATTGTTAGAGACCTCGAGGTTGACTTTTCCTTGAACACCATGTCTCTTTCCTACATGAAGTAAAGTGTCTTTCTTCCACTTGCTGGTCCTTATTAACTGAGAGGTTTGTCATTGTCAGCGTCATGGAGATTAAGTTCCAATGGATAAAGAGGGATCCGTAGATACTATGTCACCGTGGGAGAGTTTAAAATGAGTAATGCTAACCATTCCATTATTTACACAAACTCTTTGATGACTTATTGGCTGCTTGCTTGAGAAGTAAGTTTCACAAAGATGGAGCAGATGTTTTGGCAGTAACTCATGGAGTAATAAATTGTAGAGTATGTTCAAATTGTACCAGTTGTTTGGGATTTGTTTTGATTGTGTCCTTGGTATTACAAAAAAGTCTAAATTTCACTGTGTCAGACCTTCATATGAACTGGGGGAAAAGCTATATCTACCCAATTAATGAAGTAGTACAAATTGAGAAGCTGGCCAAAACATTTGGGGGGGAGTAGAGGAGCTACCCTCCATCTACTTGGGCATGCCATTAGGTGCAAAAAGTAAGTCAATGAGCATTTGGAGTGGCGTGATAGAGAAGTGCGAGAGAAAATTAGCAAACTGGAAAAGCCAATGCTTATCTAGGGGGGGGGGGGGGGGGGGGGGGACTTACTATGATCAACAGTGTGCTGGATGCCTTACCAACACACATGATGTCTGTTTTCCAAGCACCAGCTGGTGTAATCAATAGATAGAGGTACTCAGAAAAACCTTCTTTTGGCAAGGAAATGAAGATAAGAGAAAGTATCATCTTGTCAAATAGGAAGAAATGAACATAAGCAAGAAGATTGGGGGTGCGGGCATCAGAAACATGAAGTTTCAGAACCAAAGCCTTATGATGAAGTGGTTATGGAAGTTTTCATCTGCTGAGAACTCATTGTGGAAGGAGGTGATTGCTGCAAAATATGGAATGAGGGATAAGTGGATGACAACAGAGGTGGCCTCTCCATATGGGTCTAGTGTATGGAGATCTATCAGGGATCTATGGGATTTGGTGCTAGAAAGATCACACTGTAAGTTGGGAAATGGCAGAAAGGTGGTTTTCTGGATGGACAAATAGTGTGGACAGGTTCCACTAAGCCAAAGGTTTCCTGACCTCTACAACCTATGTCAAATGCAGCAAGAAACTGTAGCAAAATTATGGAATGATCAAGGGTGGAATTTGCACTTCAGGAGAAACTTAAATGATTGGGAGATGTGTAGATTAGCAGAGCTTTTTTTCACCCTAGCACAATTTAGTAACTTGTCTGTTGAAGAGGATTCACTGGTATGGAATGTGGGAAGCAAAGGGTGGTTCACTGTTAACTCAGCATATGAAGATCTCAACACAGTTGGCATTGAGGAAGTAGAATGGCCTTGGAAGAGGATATGGAAAACTAAGATACCCTATAAAGTAAACTGTTTTACTTGGTTGTTAGCTAAGGAGACAGTTTTGACACATGAGAACTTGAACAAAAGAGGTTTTCACCTGTGTTCCAGGTGTTTTTTGTGTGAAGAGCAAGGAGAGACAGTCAACCATCTCTTCTTACACCACAAGTGGACAGGCCAGTTGTGGCAAATGTTCACCAATATGAGAGATTAAATGGGTGAAACCAGAAAGGATCAAAGAGGTTTTGAAGTGCTGGAATAGAGATGGAAATGCAGGAAGAAAGGAGGAGAGATGGAAGATTGTCCCATCATGTATATGGTGGACAGTATGGCTAGAGAGGAACTAGAGATGTTTTGAAGGAAAGCAGAGCAACATACAAAGACTTAAAGCTTAATTGTTTAGCTCTGTATTATTTTTGGTGTAAACAAGTAGTCTCAGATAGCTCAGAAGTAATCAGCACAACTATAGACTGGCTGTAACTTGGTAGTTATAGGATCCTATGTAATTACAACACTTTTCGAGGGGAACTACACTTTTGAGGTAGTATACCTACGGATAAATATAGACTAACTGTTACTTTTCTCAAAAAAAAAAAGAGTCTAAATTTCATCCTTCACAAATGTCATTCCTAGTATTTGGAAAAATGTCTTGCATACCATTAGCTGTATGCTCCTACCTATATTCCCAAAGGTGCATCTTTTGAGTGTTTTAACCGATCCACTTCCTTGTTGTATCAATGCAGAAAGGGAGACATTTTAGGAAAACTTGTCAGTCTTTCTGTAATTTGGTTAAACTTCTTTTTCTGTGAGGTAACTGTGTCAAAGCAACTCAACCTCCCCCCTCAGTGCCTAATATATCTTCATAACCCCCTCTTTAGAAGCTTAAGGTGGATTCTTCGTAGAACTCGAGATCAAGTACTATCTAATTTAAGTCAGAAGAGGACTTTGCCCATAGTTATCCTGAGGATCCATATTTTCTTAGCAAAAGAATGACGAGCTTGAACCAAAGAAGGAATTGAGGATTTAGTTTACTGGAAGCCATGTTTATTACTAAATACCTACCACCCCCAACCCCAAAAAAGAAAAGAAAGAAAGAGTCAACTAGATTTTAAGAGAAAACAGAGTTTTTTTAAAAATGACCTTTTTGTCGTGCTTGAATCACGTGGTCGGAAAATATTACTAATGCAGATAAACGTATACTTATCTTAAATTGTAGGAATGGAAGACACTAGGAATACATGCGACAAAATTGAAACCAATCCAGTGTTGTGGAAATTAAATAAAGATGGATCCTTTTCCTTATGCTTTGGCACTCACCTTTACTTCTGTGGTTTTACTTTCCCCCTTTTTCCTTTCCTTTTCTTTGAATATCGTCTAGTATTTTAGTTGGACACTTTGTTCTAGTCGGTGTTGGTAACACTTCGCCCCATGAGTATGAAAACTTAAATCCTTTTAAGAGGCTTGGAGACTCATCACATAATGACTAATGAAATATAATGGCATGCATATTATTCAAAGTACACGTTACATATTATACATAAATTCTATATAGCTGTGTATTTCTGCTAGTTCAACTAATTTGAAATTCATCTTATGTAGGTGTTTGACTAAGTAGATGTTCAACAGCAAACAACATTTTTCTTTTAGTCATGCAGCCGGTGGCTTCTTTAACTCATTTACTATTTGAGAAGATTTGAAGCGTCTCTATGCAATTTATCTCATGCTTGTGGCAATGACATACTGGGGACTGCTAGGAAATTGCCAAATTCACAGAGGAAGACACGCTAAGCACCTGAGTTACTAGGTGATTTCTTTGCAATCCGAAGAAACTTAGAAAGAAAGTATAGCAACTTTAATTGGATGTTCGTTGTTAACAAGCTACTTGTACATTAAGTTATTCACTCAGGATTGATCATTTGTCAAGTTGCAACGTTTTGCAGCCAATATTCTGTCAGATAGTTAGAACTTAGAAGTTCTTTGGTCCTACTTGTTCCTACTGGGTTGTCTTTCCTTGTGTTTGAACCAGGATAATACGAATGGTTGAAGAATTTGTTCGAGTTACTAATATATCAGAAATTCAGAATAATTTTCCAGGTCCTGAATAGGAGAAAAAGCTAGTCAAGCTGCTAAATGTAAATTTTATGAAGTATTATTTAGAACATGTGGAACGGAAAGCGTTTTTTTTTTAATGTTTCAAAGTGCAGAAAGAGATGGTACAGCAAAAACATTTCATCTTCCTTGATAATGAATGAAGAGAAAAAGTTGGAGGTACTTGTTCAAATCAAGTTTAGTACCTCTTTTTTCCCTTTTCCTCAGGAGTCTGTTTATCTTCTTTGGTGATGTATGGTAATAATGACACAAAGTATATTGTGCTGTTTTATAACAATGGAACGCCAACTATTTGACGTTTACTAGCATATAAATTTGACATAGAATGGGAAATGTGGTTAGTAAAGATTCATATAGTTGACTCTAAACTTGTTTGGGATTGAGACTTGTTTATATTGTTCGAGATTGAGAGAAAAACAAAGAAATCACTTGACCATGATGATGAAACACTATAATTTGAGTCGATGAACTACTCTCCAACGTTACAATTTTCAAAAATTTCAGAAAGACTTGTTGGGAATCGCTGATTGAGTCGATTCAACCAAGAAAGACATGGGACTTCTGAATGTTGCTTGGACTGAGTTAAGTAAAGACTGGCTAGTTACATAGTTAAGTAGGGTAATACCCAAGGACTACAGTGAATTGAAACTCATACACTTGACTCAAATTTGAACTAAACTCTTACATAAAAAAACTTCAACTAAGGATCTGATATTGTTAACTTTCCAACTTGAGTTGGAGTAGTATCATCACCTGCCATTTCAACTTTATCTTATATTGGCAATTCAGTTTCAGTCTTCCACAAAGATGAGATATCAGCCACAGCTTCAGAAACTGTCAGATATATTCCATTTAGTCCAAAGCCCTCAAGAGCATTAGATTCATGTAACTTTTCCATAACATTCCCACCTGGATTTGCCAGCACAAGCTGAACACAACAACAAATTTTGTAAGAATTTTTTTGACTAATGGAGGAAACAAAAGAGCCATCTTTTATATGGCTGATGTACTTACCTTAAGAGATCGTTTATCCAGCGTCTTTCTTAGTTCACATATTGTGTCAATGCCACTTGAGTCTATGGACGACACAGCTGGTAAACAAAGATGGTGTTTTGTCACTCAACATGTTAGATACAGAATATCAGCAAATTTCTCTTCTTTTTTTCTCTTCAACTGACCTGTCATGTCGATAATTACACATTTGATTGCAGTTTCTTGGTTGGCTTCTATCCTCTCTTCCTCTTCGCGTATCCATCTCAATATCCTGTAGTTAACAAAATGGAATTCCAAGTAAATGAAACTGTGAAATAAATACAGAATGTGCAGCCTATGTTAGTAACTAACCTTTCTTGTAAGTAGGTAGAATTTGCAAAGTAGATAGGAGCTTCTATAGCTAGGATCAGGAAAGAAGGAATTCTAACAGCTGTTCTATATCTGTTCATGTTTTGATATACTTGAGTTCCAGGAATATTGCCCAAGACACCAGTATTTGGCCTTGTAACATGCAACAAGATCTTAAAAACCGAAACTCCAACCTAAAATTTCATGACCAAAAACCAGAAAATATTAGTTAGGTAAGATCAGAAGGACCTAAAATCTGAAACTTTCGAGGGGATGCTTACTGCAATGGCTAGGCCGAGAGGTACTGAGATGAAAAGAACACCAAAAAACGAACACAAGCAAGCTAAGAAATCGAGCTTGTCAACTTTCCATAACCGTAATGCAGCCTGATAATCGATTAGGCCAATTACTGCTGTTATAATGATTGCTGCCAAGATGACAATGGGAGTGTAATAGAACAGTGGCATTAGAAACAGCAGGGTGATTAACACAGCTGTTGCCATTATTATGTTTGAAACAACCGTTTGTGCCCCAGCGTTGTAATTTACTGCTGATCGAGAAAATGATCCTGTAAAAGTAAAACTTATCTAGGTAAAAAAGGAGAGAAAGTCTTACTTATACATATAATAGCTAAAACCACAGGCCAATAACGCCAAGGGCAGAGATCCCTTGGCGTAAGTTTTTTTTTTTTAATGCCCTTATTTAAATTTCTGGCTCCGTCACTGAATGAGGTTGGTACCTGTTGTAACATAGCAAGAAGAACAGGATCCAGCCATGTTCATTAGTCCAATAGCCATCATTTCTTTGTTTCCATCAACTTGGTAATTCTTCAAAGCAGCAAATGTCCTTCCTACTGCAATCCCTTCCTGTAAGTCCATGAAAACGTTGATCAGGAACCACTTCTTTACAATTTCTATGATCAATCACTTGTAATGGATAAAAACGACTTACTGTGAGTGCTAAGATCCCAGATACAATGCCAGTTTTGATGGCAAGAGGCAGATAAGGACCACTCAGATATAACATGTTCATCGAGGGTGGATTTAGACCCTTTGGTAAGTGTCCAATCTGCAATAACTCAAAGTTATTTCCAGTTTTATTCTGCTTAAAACTTACGTATCAACGTAAAGTTGATGCATATTACTTACAGTTTGAATCCCATGAGCTTTCGACTTAAGACAGGCAACTACAAGAGTTGATAGAACAACTGAGGCCAACGGAGATGCTGCTGAAAGCCAGAAAAATTTCGGATTCCTGGTGCTCTGATACCACCAAAGAAGATTCAACAACGTCAAAATTCAGAATATTAGTATGTTTTCTTTTTCTGTACATAAACCAAACAAATACATACGATTTGCCTTGTTGTTAGCAGGAACGCGAGGAAACACATGCCCATAACAATGGTTTGCCAAGACCACTGCAGACAGATATAGAAGATTAAAATTTCAATTTGTTGAGTAAACAAAGATTGTTGCTTTTTCGACAATCTTATTAACTCAGATTTAAGCTTCTTCTTACTTCGTCTTTGTGCTGGAAAACAGAAGACAATACAGGAACTATTTGCATCTTGCTTGTGAAATGGACCATTCCTAGCAACCCTTTCAGTTGTTGCAATGAAACTATGACTGCTGCACCAGCCATGAACCCGACTAACGTTGCCTTTGACAGAAAATCGATGATAAATCCCAACCTACAAACGTTTAAACTAACTGAGTTCTAAAATAATTCATAAACACAAAGTTCTAAAATTAATTTTTCAGAATCCTTATTAGTTTACTTAAGTTAGAATGATTTGGACTTGCATACAGTGGAAACGATATATTAAGGATTCATATAACTGACTCACAACTTGTTTAGAATTAAGACAATTCAACTCAATATCACCATAGCTATATGGCTAAAGACGGAGATTAACTCATTAACCCGTGTATCGCCCTACAAAGGTAGAGGTAAAGTCTGCGTACATCTTATCCTTCCCAAATCCACTTGTGAGATTACACTGGATATATTATTGTTCGTTAACCTCAGAATCTTTGTTATTGCATAGTGCATAAAATTCCACTCCCTTTCTTTTTTGTTGCTTTCATTAGTGCAATGTATCTAAATGATTCTTCTTTCTAAAACTTGTTTCCACTTAGTCATTAGAATTATTCTCCCTTTTTCTAAGCCAATTAGAAAGTCAAAATTAACAACTTTTTTTTGCGTTTTTCAAGTGGACGAAAAGGATTTAGGTTATATACACTAACGATTACCTGAAGAATCCGAGTGAAGCCTGAAAGACTCCAGCAAAAAGTGTAGCTGTAAAAGCCAATTGAAGGTAAAGAATTGGTTGTTCAGTGTAAGAAACAACTTCACTTAGCATTGTGCCCATCACAAGTGATGCAATTGAAACTGGACCAACTGCTAAGTGTCTTGAACTTCCCAAAACTGAATAAATCAATGGTGGCACAAAGCTTGAATCTGCATTATTAGATTGAACATAACATTATTACAGTGACGGAAGCAGAATTTTTACTGAGAAAATTGTATGAATTATGTATTTATAGTGATGGTCTGTACAAAACTATTGTGACATAATAAGTAGGTGCAATAATGTTTTGTATCCATTCATATTAAATATCTTGCATGTCTCTGCCTTCAATTAATAGAACAAGTGTTGAATCCACTTTTAAAAAAAATCATAAACTTAACATATCTCATTTCTTTTATAAATTTGTTTTTAGTTTATATCCTTCTTTATAGAAGATCTAAAGGCAAAAAATAATCAAATTATAAAGGGCTAATTTCACCATCTCCCAAACACTAATAAAAAATCACAATTTTCCCACCGGAAAATGTTTAGGGGCTTTTTACTAGATATTTTGACTGAATCGGTGAAAAAAAAGAAAAGAAAAAAAGAATAATGTTTTCATACGAAAAAATGTGAAAATTTCTCACTATATCTGTGAGAATCTGTTCTATAGCATAAATTTCTTAGTGATTCGTGATTGAAAAAACTTTGTTTTAGTAGTGAAACTAATTAAAAGTTGATATCAAATGTTGTTATACTCTGTCTCATTTCATTCCAATACAACTAAAAACCCATTATCATGGTTAAAAAATGTTCAACTAAATTCTAAAATCATTCAAATTCTATAAAGTAAAAATCAAATATATATGCTAAACAAAATTAAGAATTGTAGGGAACTTACATAATCCAACAATAGGTGGCAAATTAGCAAGTTTAGCATAGCTAATTCCTTGTGGTATAGCAAGACTAGCAATGGTAAGTCCAGATATGATATCAGGCCTTAATAACTTGAGATTATACTGAGGGCCCCACTCAAAAACAGGAAAAAAAAATTGAAGTCCCAAATACAACTTCATCAAACATGTTTGATTCTTGAACTTATGAAGTGGATCATCTGGGAAAAACACTTCTAACAACCTTTGTCTTAGTTTTTCAAGTGTTGTTTTGTGTGGTGGCAAACAAACTCTATGCACTTCAAGTGGTGGTACATCATGATTTGATATTGGTAATTCAAAACCCTCTTCACTGCATGCATGTGTTGATAAATCTTCAACTCTATTTGAACTTAGTACCATATTATAATAAGAGGCCTTCGATATCAATCAATCGAGTTCAGACTCACAAATGAATAGAAAGCGAACCGAAGATTTTTAAGACTAAGTTGGGAGAGTGGTAGAGAGGTAGTTGTTTGGTGGTAAATGGAGAAGGACACTTACCATCCTTTTATAGGGACAACATTAACTATCACAATCCCCAAGGAAAATAAAAAATAAAAATAAGAAAGGTGGTGCTATGGCAACATTCAGAGGACAAGATTATTTTGGTTTTTGTTTTCTAATGTTACAAAAAGGAAAAAAAAGTCTATGCAGTATTTGTTGGACGTTTGAACAAAGTTTTATATTGATAGCTAAAAAAAGAAAACGAAATTTACTATTGAATATTCTTAAGTATTTTCCTCAATGCCTTCTGAGTCGAGGCTCAATGAGGGGTTTACCCCCACAGAGTGCTCATTCGATTGGTAGAAGTTGTGTCAAACGGTAGAAGTTGTGACAGAGATGATAGCGGTTGCAGATTATTTGAGATTCCAAAAAAAAACTTTATTTCATCATTTTAATACAAATAATGAAATAAATAATTTTGAAACTAACTGATATTCTTAGCTAGCGCTTGGCCATAGATTTTCAAATATTTTTGGCAAATATTATTTGGTTAAAATTTGGGTGAAATTTCACCATGTGTTTGGCCATAGTATTTGGGAAACATATTTTACTTTATTAGAAAATATGATTTACACCCATAAGTTTTAAAAACTATCAAAACTAACCATAGATTTGTATTATAAGTCAATTGGATCTTCGTTGCAACAAATAATAAGTAGTGTCCATGACACTAGAGCACTATGATACTTCAAAGTGAGTGCAACAAGAATCATTCCATATATTGTGAAGTAGACAAAACACATGACTTTGTTACCCTGAGTCGATTGTTCATTATTTTCATTAATAACCATATCATCACTTTCATATTCACTGAATATTTCATCACTACTTTGGTGTTTATATAAAATATTATGTATTACAGTGCAAACAACTACTATAGAGGGTGTTTATGTAAAAGATAAAAATTTGGTGTAGAATTTAAATTTTTAGAAGATCCCAAATACTAGTTTTTTCTAGTATTTGAGAATTTGGATTATTTGCTAAAAATATTTGCCAAATAATGACAGATTGTATGGACAAACACTATTTATCAAATTTCCTCCCAAATTTTACTTGAGAAATCTATGGCTAAACGAATTCTTAACCAAATATAGAATAAAATAATCTTACACTTTATTCCGAGATTATTGTCCCCTATCCCTTATATCAAAAGAACCCTTAATGATGTGAAGTATTTTTTGGAGAAAACATACATGGCTAGCCTGACAACAATAATGGTTGTGCTGTAACAACATTCAGAGGACAAGATTTTTTTGGTTTTTGTTTTCTGATGTTACAAAAAAAACCCTAAAATTTGATGCTAAAAAAAAGAATTACGATTTAAAATGTATGAGTTCTATTTGGATTATAATTTTTAATCCCATCAAAAGAGAATAAAAGAGTCCTACATATTATCTTAAAATTATAACCCATATCCCATAAAATAAATGCAAAAATTATTATCGTTTAATTGATGGGACAAGAATTATATAATTTATAGACCAAATGCGGGAATTTATTTTAACCAAATCGGTGTATGTGGCATAAATTGAAAAATAGTAAAATAAAAAAAGATCAATATTGGAATTGACATTTATATTTAGAAAAAAGATGGAATATTTATTTGGTGTCCAGGGCATGACCAATAAATATTTTAATCTGTCGTTGTGCTAACTTTTCTATTATGTATATAATCATTTTTTTAAAAAAAATATTTTTTATTTCTTTTTTCTTCTTAATATACGTAATGTTTTCCCTCAACATTTTTTTAAACATTATTAATTATGTGAAGAATTTTAAATTATAGATATTAATAAAGCACTAAATTTAAGTCATATTATAAGTTAAACACTTATCTCAAGCCTAAGTTCCCAAAATGATGGTAGGATAGTAAGCGTTTGATTGATGGAATAAGGATAATAATTTTAGAATAAAATGTGAAATTATTTGGTTATGGATATCAATTAGTCTCAGAGTTGTTAATTTATTCCACTATTTGTACTAAAATAGTCTGATTATTTAGTCTCATAAAATATCCAGATCCATAAGATATTCTTATTTATCACATTCCACCAACCAAACGATCGACCGATCTCTTCTACTTAATTATCTATCATCAAAATAGGTTTAAAATAATTAAAAATTTAAAATTCAAAATGTGGAAAAATGGTTGAATTAATGAGTTATGGTGAGAGTTCCATACTCTTTTTTTCTTTTCATTTTTCTACCTCTTAGGAAAGATGAACTTTTATATCATTTGAATCCAAATAAATTATTAAGAGTAAAAAGATATGTTAATTCTAAATAATTTTCAAATAAAAAGATAATCATTCATTTTACAATAGACTAAAAAAGTCTTTTAAAAATAGGATAGTGGGAGTACTATATATTAGTTGAGTGAGAATATAAAGAGAATATTCTATTTATAGTGAAAAGTGCACCAAGACATATTTGTTTGACTAATTAATTAATTAACGGGTATGGATTAATTAACAGTAATGTTGAAATTTCTATTCCACCAACTTTAAAACATGTTCAATATTAGTGCTATTGTAAAATTAAAGTTTGCCATGTTCGATCACGAGCTTACTCTAACACAATTTTTTTTTATGTTTAGACCTAATTAAAATATGAACCGAAAATTTTAGGTCTGGCTCTAACTCGTATATGTAGGAGAGGACTCTTATAATCACACATAAAAATAATTATATACTATCATACACTTTTTATTTCTTTAAAGATTCCTAACGCAGCATGTGCTAAAATTCGCGGCCTAACTACCAACTAAAATTAAAAATGAAATAGAATTCAAAAATAAGTTGAGAAAAAGAACAGCACTATAAATGATGGCACTCCCAATAACAATCTATACATGTAGTCCAAGTCAAATAAGGAGAATGAACCTTTATATTGTTAGCTGGTCTTTTCGTATGATCAATTATTTTAATTGTTGAATTAAAATTAATTGTAATTATTATGTTTATATTCTATATTTTATGTTCTCTTTTTGTCGAGTCAAATTGACCAAATAACACATGCTATTAATTATCAAAATATTTGAATTAAATACATGTATATTAAAAGAGAAAGAAATATTGAACTAGAACACCACATTCATTATGAGGAATCTCAGAAAATCGCTTTAATTAAAAAAAAAAAAAAAAAAAAAAAAAAAACAGGATTAGTTGAACTTGATCATGAGAGCTAAACTCGAGTAAAGAAGCCTGGATAGTCATACAACTTTTGAAATTGTAATTTCACTTTTTCTTTCTATAATACTTTACGAATGTGAGAATCAGGACCGTCTCAAGAAATTTGGGGATTAAAGTTAAATTTTGTAAACAAGTCTTACTTTTTTAGTTGTAGTTGTCATATGTAAATTGAATAACTATAACATACTTAATGTAATCTTCTACAACTGAAATCCCGAAAAGATAAGATTCTTTTTTAATTAAAGAACTTGAGAAGGTAGGATAAACACACATGACACACCTTATGAAAAATGTAAACAATAAAAATTTCAAATGAAAAAATATAATATAAAGTTAGAATAATAAAATCAGGCTAAAAAAATTTAAAAAATTTATATAATGATATTGAAATAGTTATGTTGAATTTGATATAATAATATTAAAATAGTATTGATTTGTTCTGGTGCTTGAAACTTAAAGAATATACCAAAAAAAATTATCTTTCCATAAACGCACAACAATAGATTTCTATAATGCAAAAGGTTTGTCCGTTTGGTGAGTTTTAGAATATTTAATAATGAGAGAATAAAAATAGAAAAGAAAATAAAAAAGATAAATGTAAAAATAGCAATGTGGGTTCATGATAATCGTCAAGATATATATAAGTCAAAAAATAGATGATCACATAAGAAAAGATGCTACAATTAACTAAACACTATTTTATTTCTCAATTATTACAACGACCTCCACATTAAATAAAGTAAACAACTATTATTATATTTTCTATCCAAAAAATCTTTTCAAATGACCTAATGTTAAACATCAATTAATTAGGGATAGTTATAATGAAAGACAATTAATTAATTAGATCAATTTTTTTAGTGGGTATGCTAAGTACAAATATGACAAGTAAATTTGCATGGAGGGAGTATTATTTGTTGGGTTATTAAAAGTGATTAGGGCATCATGCGGAAACTTACAATTGCATATCATATGTTTGATAAATCAGACAACAAAAACTGATACTAAAAATATAATATTATTATATGAAAACTAATGTAAAAGAAAAATATTATAAATTGTTGAGAGAATAAATCTCCCCATAAACAAGACTCTTAAACGACAACATTGTGGATGCTATTGTGTTTTTGATATGAGAAGAGGGGTCTTCAATTTATAGAGTTCCAAACTTTTCTTTCAAGGAAAGAATAACTCAAATATGGAAGAATATTATATTTTCCTTTCAGGAAAAGTAAAAACATTTATGTTAATGTTTTGTTTTTTCTTTTAGAAAAAAATAAACTTCAAATAAGATAAGAAAATCAGGACAAAACCCTAACAATATTAAGATGGCAGCCAATATAATGCAAAACATGTTTGTATGAACTATACATTAAGCAAGAATCCAACTATAGGCTTAGAAATTAATGTAACACTTTATTCGTACACAATCAATACAATTCTAAGTTGTTATAATAGACTATAATTTACTTCATTTTCTATATCAAACCAAATAAAGCTATTATAGAGAGTCAAATGTTATTGTAAAATATGTTAATCAAAGTTAACTATGAATGAAGAGAAAACTAATTACAAAATTTTGGAATTTGGCAATAGAATTTCTTTTTCACCACCAATAAAAATGGAATAGCCAAGGCAAATCGAGCACCTAATTGCAACCGTCCATATTATGCTAATCTTGGTAGATTCCATGCAACTTTCAATTTGG